TGCCAAGGAATTACTGCATCAATGCGGGTGGCCATGGAGCGCCAATCAGCCTGTGGCATTTTACTGATGGTGTTATGGAGCCCAGGATGCTTCAATAGCGGCCTTTAGCTCATTAGCATTGTTGGGTTTCTGGCTGTCTTTCAGCTTCTTCTTCACATATTACCCCACATATCCTCTATGGGTCAGCGTCAGGGGATTTTAGCAGGCCAATATCGAGGACAGTAATGCCATGGTCAGTACACCAGTTACTGTGGTTTTGGACTGCGGGCAGGTGCCACGATCATGCTGCGTAAAATGAATTCCTCAATCTCCATAGAGCTTTTCAGCAGACGCGGAAGCATGTAGTGCCTCTAAACATCTCTGGTACACAGCTGCATTTACTCTGGGCTTGATGGAAACACAGTGGACCAACACCAGCAGCTGCATGGCTTCCCCAAACCATCGCTGACTGTGGGAACTTCACACTGGATTTCAAGCAACTTGGATTTTGCTCCTCTCCAGCCTTTCTCCAGACTCTGGGGCGCCTTGATGCCTCCAAATGAAATACAAAACTGCTTTCGTCTGAAAAGAGGCTGGACCACTGTGCAACTGTCCAGTGCTTCTTTTCCTTAGCCCAAGTCAGACGCCTCTTCCGTTGTCTTGAGTTCAGAAGTGGCTTGACCATGGGGAATACGTATTGTAGCCATTTCCCGGACACGTCTGTGAACAGTGACTTTGATAACCTGGACTCCAGCTTCCCCCCCCCCCCCCCCCCGCCTGTCCACTGTCTTTTGAAGCTCCCCCAAATTCTGGAAGCGACTCTTCTTCACAATGCTGTTTAAGGCTGCGGTCATCTCTCTTGGTTGTGCAGCGTTTCGCCACATTTCCCCTTCAACAGGACTTTTTGTGGATGTGCTTTGAAACTGCACTCTGTGAACAGCTTTGCTCTTTTGAGAAATTTTTTTGTTGTCTTACCCTCCTGATGGAGGGTGTCAAGACGGTCCTCTGGACAGCAGTTCAGATCAGCAGTCTTCCCCATACTTGTGATTTAGTTACTGAACCAAGCTGAGTGTTTTTCAAGGCTCAGGAAACCCTTGCAGGTGTTTTCGGGGGGGGGCAAGGGGGTTTCCTGAGCCTTTGAATGTTAATTAGACGAATTCAACGTGATT